CTGGTCGAGTATTATTAGCCAAATACATTAATGCTCCAATAGCACTCAAATATGGTATTTCGGGACCAAGGATTTCTTCATCATCTTCACAAGGTCGGAAAGGATCATCATGCACATTGAGAGATCGAACCACCATTGGAGAATTGAGCGGATGTGCTTTATCCATGTAAAATCGCTTCAAAAGTTTCTCGGTATAATTTGATTGGTGGATGAAAATACCATTTCTCAAATGTTCAATTTGAATGCCGAGACAAAATTTTGTTCTCCCAAGGTCTTTCATTTCAAATTCTTTCATGAGATATTTTGCAGTATTTTCAATTTCATTAGGAGTTCCGATTATATTCAAATCATCAACATATACTGCAATTATGGCGAATCCTGATTCGGATCGTTGAATGAAAACACATGGACTAATAGGATCATTTTTATACCCTTCTTTAATCAAATATTCACTGAGACGGTTATACCACATGCGTCCAGATTGTTTTAATCCATATAATGACTTTTGCAATTTTATGGAAAATAAATCTCGAGATATTTTAAGCATCAGGTATTTTAAAGCCTCCAGGAATTCTCATATATATGTCTGTATCGAGTGAAGCGTATAAATATGCGGTCACCACATCCATGAGGCGCATTTGCAGCCTTTCAAAAACAGACATGCCAATTAAAAATCTTAAAGTTGTAGCATCAACTACTGGAGAATACGTCTCATCATAATCGATTCCTGGCATTTGAGAAAAACCTTGGGCAACAAGTCGGGCTTTGTATCTAACGATTTCATTTTTCTCGTTGCGTTTACGCACAAAAACCCATTTAAAACCGACAGGTTTTACGCCTTTTGGCGTATGGACAATTGGTCCAAAAACATTACGCTTTTCTAGCGATTTTAATTCTACCTGAATTGCTTCATTCCATTTTAGCCAATCATTTCTACGACGACATTCGTCAATAGATTTAGGCTCATTGTCATCGTGTTCATTCATTATATCTGTGGCGATGGCATATGAAAATATATCATTAACATCAATATCATTTCTATTCCATTGTATTCCACTAGAAACGTAATTAATTGAAATTTCAAAATTATCGACGTTTCTATCTTTATCTGGAATATTTACCTCTTCGAAGGTGATTGGATCCTCTTTTGAGGTATCATTATTATTGATGTTATCTTCAAGGTCGATATTTTCAAAATGTTCATTTTCTTCTTGAGAAGGTTGAACTTCTTTGGCATCACAAACTACAACTTGCTGTTTAAATTTTCTTGGTTTCAAATCTCTTGAACCAAGTGGTCTACCACGTTTTTTACGTATCATAGATTCATTAGCAAGTGTTCTTTCGCTAATCTCCGCAGGAATTTCTATTCGAGAAGGAGCATTCATAGCTGGAACATGTGACTTTGTCACTTTCTTTTAATCAGTGAAAGCATCAGGCAATTGGTTTGCAACATTTTGTAAATGAATAATCTTTTGAATTTCTTGTTCACAAGCATTTGTGCGAGAATCAAGAAAAGATAAATTTGTTGCATTCCAAGTAATATCTTTCGTACGTGGGTCCATTTCTTTAATATCTCCCCCTAAGGCTGGGAATACTGTCTCATCAAAATGACAGTCATCGAACCGCGTGGTGAATAAGTCACCGGTCATAGGTTCTAGATAATTAATAATTGAGGGTGATTTAAAACCAACATAAATTCCCAGCCTTCTTTGAGGACCCATTTTAGTACGATAAGGTGGAGCAATTGGTACATACACAGAACAACCAAATATTTTTAGGTGTGATATATTTGGTTCTTTACCAGATATTAATTGTAATGGGGAAAATTTATGATATGCCGTTGGCCTAAGCCGAATTAAATTTGCAGCATGCATTATAGCATATCCCCATGCAGATGATGGTAATCTGGATTTCATCAATAATGGTCTAGCAATTAATTGTAATCGCTTAATTAAGGATTCGGCAAGACCATTTTGTGTATGTACATGTGGAACTGGATGTTCCACATCAATCCCAATTGACATGCAATAGTCATTAAAAGATTGGGATGTAAATTCTCCTGCATTATCAAGTCGGATTTTCTTTATCGAATAATCCGGAAATTGTGATCTCAAACGAATAATTTGAGCAAGGAGATTTGCAAATGCAAAATTTCTAGTCAATAAAAGACTGACATGTGACCAACGTGTTGATGCATCAATGAGCACCATAAAATATCGAAACGGTCCACACGGAGGGGTAATTGGCCCACAAATATCTCCTTGAATTCTTTCTAAAAATGCAGGAGATTCAACTCCAATTTTGTATAAAGATGGCCTGATAATTAATTTGCCAAGAGAACAGGCAGTGCACGGAAAATCACTTGATTGTGGAATCTTGACATTAGTTAATGAATGTCCACGTGAATTTTCAATAATTTTGTGCATCATAGTGCTACCTAGATGACCTAAACGGTCATGCCACAAGATAAAGGAATTGTGGTCATAAATTTTAGATACCACATTTATCTCAATTGGACTGATATATGTATAATACAGTCCCGAGGAATATGCTGGCATTTTTTCAGAAATGTATTTATTGCCAGATCTATTTATCGTTAGACATAAATATTCCTTCTGATTTTCAGACATGGTTTCAATATGAAAACCATTTAGACGTAAATCTTTAAAGCTCAAAAGATTTCTCCGTGATTTACTGGAGTATAAAGCGTCTTTAATTATTAATTTTGTCCCTTTTGGGAGAATCACACAGGCTATTCCAGAACCTTCAATTAGTTTAGCAACACCTGGGATTGTATTGACATTAGCATCAACTAATGTCATATGAGAAAAATAATCTCTATGTCTCAAAATGGTGTGCGTTGTGGCACTGTCTATTAGACATTGTTCAGAGCCACTTGGAGAAATTTTAGTTAACTCCATATCTTCGAAAAGATAAAAATGAACAAATATTAGTTCAATACTGTAATATAAACAAGGCTTTATTCATTAAAATGCACATAACATTTACAATCGAAATAAGCACACCAAATAAAAATTACAATACAACAAACTTTTATTGTAGAATATATTACATAACAGAATAATTTCAAATTGCTTTTATTTACTTATTTATTATTTTTCACCCATAACGATGTTGGTGTTCATCTCATTATCGTCCATATAGAAATCAGACACATTAAATGTGGGCATTGGTGGATCATTTTCGTTGACGTAATTAGTTTCCACATTCTTTCCTTTTAGAGATGATTTATATAAATCAATCAAGTGTCTAGGTGTACGACACTTATTTGCCCAATGTCCCAACGTGCCACACTTAAAGCAAGTGACTTTGGCCTTTTCTGAAGATTTCGTCGAGCTCTTTGTTTGATGGCGGTTTTGCTTACCCTTGCCTTTGTAAAATGAGCTACTACTCTGTTTGTTTCCCCGGCTAGGTCCATTATAACGACCAATACCACGACCACGTTTGAAATGTCCACGAGCACCACTATGGGTTGCATTTGATTCATGTTTTGAACCATGATTTGGTGGACCAAAACTAACCGGGCTACAACCCGTGGGTCTCATATTGTGGTTTCTCATCAAAATGTCGGTATTCGTCTCAGCAAATAGTAATACTGATATCAAATCAGAATACTTTTGAAAATGCTTTTGTCTATATTGCTCTTGTAAAAGCACATTTGAAACATGCATAGTGGACAAAGTTTTCTCCAACGTTTCAGCATCAGTGACTTTTTGTCCGCATAACTTTAGTTTTGATGTTATTTGGAACAAAGCATAATTGTAGTCACTTACAGATTTGTAATCCTGGAATCGTAAATTGATCCAGTCATATTGAGCTTTTGGTAAAAGGACCTTTTGTTGATGACCATACCTTTCTTGGAGATTATCCCATAATTCTTTAGGGTCATCTCCCAATAAATACTCAGATTTCAAACTTTCATGAAGATGATGACGAAGAAAGATGATGGCTTTTGCCTTATTTTGGGGAGTGGCTGAATTATTTTCAGCAATTGTATTTTCAAGGGCATTTGCTTTCAAATGTGCCAAAGAGTCGACTTTCCATTCCAAATACTTTTGGCCAGATAAATCAAGGACGTCAAACTCTCTTTTGCTCATATGTGCCATAATACTACAAAAAGTATTGATTTAATCAGGAAAATATATAAGGTAATATATACTATCGTATAATTATAATCAAAGAAATCATCAATTGCTTCTAGTCCGTCAATTTGGTTTTGGAAATAAACTTGGCACTTTTTTTTAATTAACCTTATACAGAGCATATGTTTTTTTTATTTGATACATGCGTAAATAATTAGGAAATTAGGAATCGATAATATCAAACTCATTATTATTCATATTTGTTATGAATTACTTACCAAATAATCAAATGACACCATGTAGTAAATGTAATACTGGAGAATGGTTGGTTACACATGATGTGAATGTATGAATGATTCATGTGTATTACGGAGTATATATTGATGACTAATAAATTATATTTTGTTAACCATGTGAGTTTGGCAGAATTTTGTCTTTTTATCTACATGCAATGTTCCCAAGAGTAAATGCTACGTACAAACTTATGCATTTATTATCAGACACATTTATTTTTTTGTTTGTTTATGATTTTGAATTAAATGTGTAGAGATAACTTATCAGATATGTTTCAGGCTTGCATGTGACAGAGGGCCATATTCATTTGATTCCCGTGATCTTCGATCTTACTTCGTATATATATATATTGAGTTTAAGCAAGTCATGGCCTGGCTAGTACTTATATGGTATATATCAATTCTTTCGTTTTTAGGTTTAAAATCATACTCCGTATATCTCCTCTACTATGATACTATTTACTCCGTATATATTTTCTTTCACTCTGCAGTATAAGCAGTATACATACTCCTCTTTAGAAGATGACTGAAGTACTTGTGAGGATGAAGTGGAGATAATACTTTGATTTTAAGGTATGTATATATGTTCCTGTAGTATTAAAGCTTGAATAAAAGTAAAATCATATGTCTAATAATAATATAATTGCTACTTCGTGAATAAAATATTTATAAGAATTCCAGATTTGTATTTAGTCTATCTTCTTCAACTTCTTTTATAGAAAACATAGCTATAATTTTCTGATATGGAGGATCCCAATGGTTGGGCAACCATAGAGCATACTTCTTATAGTTTTAATATATATAAACAGGTTTATGCTATGTACTTCTGATCTCAACCTCTGATTTTTCTTTTTCAGATAAGTTGATAAATTCATGAAAAAATATACCTGCTGGGAAGATGATGATTTCGGGGATGTGGAGCAAATTCGTGCTGATAACGTGTTATAATATGGAAGGAAATAAGCAGAAGATCAGGGAGAGAAATATAGTATGAACACTTAGTGATAGATTATATTATTGAGAGTGTGATAATGGTGTAACCATGGTGTGTTAATTACAATGGAGAAGCCTCCTATTTATAGGAGAAAAACTAAGCTTCATAGGATTAGAGGATAATTGTGAACCACACAATTATCATCTAGAATCATAATTATGATTTCCTGATTATTTATATAATGGTGATAATAATTCCTAATCAGGAATAGTTGGAAGATGACTAATTCAATAATATTTCAACAAGAACGAACTTCTTGACATTAATATTTTGTGCCAAAACGACGGAGTATTTCGTCTTTCCGTCACCTCATGGTTTGATTCCGTGTACCGAATCCTCTCTCTCCGAAAGTGGCGACTTTCTCTATCATCTGTCCGTCGTTGGAACCGCATTGAAGGAGTGAGAGGCGGGAGAGAGAGAGCTATGGTGAGTAAATAAATGAGTAACGTGGCGTAGCAAAATGCCGGAGGGGAAACACCTGGTGCTATCAGAAGCAGCTTTCAAAGGAAATTCAATGGAAAACCCTAATAACTCTGAGTCTGCGCAGGAACGGCATGCTCTTCCTACTAACGAAATATCCTCGACTAGTAGGGAGGAAGGAGAGCTCAGCACATCCGACGACGACGACGTATTTTCCTCTCTTAAACACCGCTTCTGTTTTTGCTTCCACTTTCGGAACCTGGTTTGGTTTCGAGATTTATAATGTCATTTTGTTTTCTGTTCTGCTTAAGTTGTAAACTTCTTTGTTTTGTTTATAGCATCACTTCCCCTCTGCTCTTATCTGTTTCGGATATGTTTATATTCGCTTCATAATTTCAATAAGAAATTTGCTAATGGATCACAACAAAGACAATGTATTGGTTTTATAAGTTTCTGAAATTTTTACTAGTCTGCAGTTTGTTATGATTGTGCCCCTTGTGACTTTAAAATTTACCAAATGTGGTAATGTAATGGGGGAAGTGGTGCGAGATAGAAGAAACCAGAAATATGAAACTAATCATTGAACCTGTTTTAATTTACACATTCCAAGTACTCAAGAGTTGAAGGAATTGCCTGTCACAGGAAAACCAACCTCACTGCTCAACTTCTCAATTCACTGGTGTGAATGCAGCTGAACTGAAGCCCTTGGAAGTTGAATTGGTTAAAGATGCACATGATATTGAGGCTGGTACATGCTGCCATACTTACGTGTGACCAATATAAGCTCTCTTATTTGTATTATGTATACATTTTATATCTTACTTGATGTGATCAATCCATTGTCCATGTACTGATCTTGTACTGTGTTCTATCAATAACTTGAATGGAGTTGACTTCCTTTGAAGTATGGTCTTGAATTCCTGTTTAAATTTATTGTAAACCTTTCTTTGAATGGGTTTATTGATTTATCCTTTGCTTTCTAATATTTCTATCCTTATCTGCAGGAAGGTGTGCGTCTTCTAACACATTGGCGAAATTAAGTTCACAAGCATCTCAAGAGTCAAAAATTCATAAAAGTTCTGATAAGAATCGAGGCTCGTTTGTGCCATTCCTGATAAGTTTTTCAGATGATGAAAGTGGCAGTGACCCAGAGGGCACTGCACAGAAAAACACATTGATAAGGGAAAACAGGTGCTTATCTGTAAATACAAGTAGCAAACTCCCACAAGCAGATTCAGCTGTACGTAGACCACTCAAACTAGGAAAAGTAATTAAAAATGAGGCTAGAGTGATGAAAAAGTTGCCCCTTACTCACCAGTTTGTGTCTTCATCTCATAAAAACAGTACTGCTATGGCTAGAAGGGGTGGATTGACTTTAAACGTCCGAAATAATAACAATTTTAAACAGACAAATGGTCCATCTCTTTTGCGTAAAACAAATACCGCATTGAATAATAGTAAACTACAAGATTTACGCCAATTGATTGCTATTCGGGAGAACGAATTGAAGCTTAAGGGTACTCAGCAAGCGAAGAGTTTCAGTTCAACTGAATGTAAGGATCTCAGTGTTATGGGTACATGCATTAGCATGAGAGGTTTCTCCGGATCCACTGGTGCAGAAAACATGCCCCACGAGTCAAAAGAACCTACCAAAAAGCTCCAAAAGATTGATGAAAATCATTCAAGCCAGATGGTTCGGAATTCTCAAGTCACAGATACACTATTATCATCAGAAAAATCTGTGTTAGAAAATTGTGGTCAACCTGGTCTTGGTGGTCAAAGCAGTCATAGTGAAATGTTTGAAAGACCTCATGCAGGCCTTGCTATACACCATGAGAATGAAAATCAGGGTTCTATGTATTTGACAAAATTAGCTACTGGTAGGAAGGCAGGTAATCATTTTACTATTGAGGAGTTGAGCACTTCCTTTGATAAAAAAGTCGGACGCTAAAGGATAGGTGGTTGCTCTTGTGTAGGTACTGATTTATTGACAAGTCAAAGTGGCCGGAAAACAAACATGAGGGACTGTATGATTACATCAGCACAAGCTGCAGTTGCTCATGATTCAGTATGTTATAGGCTGCCAAGATATCTTATTTGTAATAATTATGTAAATACATTTGTTATTATATTCATGGTTATTGTTCTGTCATGTTTGGCAACAGACATCCATGCGCCTCTTTGATTACACTTACAAGGGGGCACTTTTTGAGGATTTGGAAGGTGTAAACTTGTCCATAGAATTGTTTGGGTACTTTATAGTTTTAAATGCATTTTTACAATTAGCATTGAATTGAAATTCGTTATCAGACAATGCTACCATCTACAACACTCGCGTAGTTAATCACGTGTTACAGTGCCTGATTCAGTTATCATGAGTTTAAGACAGGTGATATCCATATGACCGACTGCTCTACCTTCTACTGTCTAGATGTCGCCTTTTGTGGTCATATACAGTGTACAAGGATGCCTATAATATACTTTAAAAGATAATGTCACAATGTTCATGTGCGTTTCTTTTTTTTTCTGTGCTGATTGGAGAAGTTGTATGAGCATGTTCAGGTCATTGGAGTGTAACACCTTTTTTCATCTGATGGAGGGACATAGACAAACTTAATTCTTCACTTGAAATACAAAATAAGAAGGGGATGCTTTAATTCTTACTCCCCCGTCCCTTACAACTTTGCCATCTTTCCGTTTTTTATTGTTCCAAAAAACTTTTGCACTTTCCCTTTTGATCAATTAATTTGTGGTTCCTATTATTTTCTTTCTCTTGTGCACAACCCTCAACCACACAGTTTTTACTTTATTATTCTCCGTGCCAATCAATCTTGACAAAGTTACAAGTGACTGAGGGGGTATTATTTTGTAAACAGGAATGTTTATTTTCGAATTGCTATGCTCTAGTTTGGATTTGGCCCTTATGGTGCTGCCTAAATTACTAGAGTGCTTATAATCCCTTGAGAGGAGAACATCATTACTTTATGTGTGTGTTTATTTATCTGTGTTGATCAAAGAAGTTGCTCGAATATGTCTGGGTCATTGGATTGTGTAACACCATTTTTCACGTAATGGAGGGATCTAGAATTGTTGAAGTACACAACGCTTCACTTGAAAGCAAACGTAAAAAGGGAAATAGTTATTTGATATCATTTTTTAAATAAATCTTGTGTTCTGTCTCCTGTCAATTTTCTAAAGAGTGATTGAATGAGGGTTTACAACAGGTTCTCTACTCTCATGTTTCTTAATCTAGCTTGTGGCTGTTTTCCAGTCACAGGTTCCCCCCTGGTCATGAAGGATTTCTGCTTCCCCTTTCCATGTCATCCAATTTTTTATGCTGTGCCAATACGTCTTCTAACCCTTCTGTATAGAATTTAGACCTTTAAATGGACCGCAATTTCTGATTGGCAGTTATGTTTTTAATCGGTATATCAATGATCAGATCTTAAACCTATAAGGGCACTGCCACTTCCCATTAACAGTACTGTTTTAAAGAATTAAAGCTCATGTCTAAGTATCAATGTTAAAATTGCAATAACTTTGTTTTATACTATATGTTAACCAATGTGATTTTTTATGTTTCATGATTTGATTTATCAGTCTATGTCTTAGACCCTAAAATCTGTGTTTGTACTTTTGCTGTTATAAGAAGGAAGTGGAGTTGAAGGGTCCAACTAAGCATAGTCATCAATTCATCCCTGGCCCTGGGCAAGCTGGTAGGAGTTGTACAGGAAGAAGCTCTAGTGATCCAGTTGCACTTGATGATCAACCACATCCACATGTCACACAGAATGTAAACCAGGTAAAACCTTCATGCTGTTGGCAGTACCTTAGTAATCAATACTCACATTCTGGTGAAGAGATTTTTAGCCGCACAGACTGGGGAAGTGAAAAGTTGAACCAGATCATTTCCCCGGACTATTTTTTGTTGCTAATTGTTCTCTAATATCTATGATACCGATTCCCTGTGAGACAGTGAGTTAACTACTACATGGACACTGATTTTTTTTGGAATTTCTATGGATAAAGGAACCCCTGAATATTCAACAAGTTCCGCACAACTTCAGAAAATTAGACATGTCTAGGAATAGTGGCATGGATTTGCAATCGTTGTTGGACACTGAGGAATTACATGATAAGCAGCTTGAGGAGGCCCAGGAATATCGGCGCAAGTGTGAAATTGAAGAAAGAAATGCTCTCAATTCCTATAGAAAGGCTCAGAAGGCCTTGATTGAGGCAAACGCTAGATGTTCTGCTCTATTTAGTAAAAGAGAGATATACTCAGCGCAGCTTCGACGTCTTATGATAGAGAATCCAGTCTATACTAATACGTTGTTCCCTCTTGGATCTCACCTCGAAACTGTTTTGAACCCCTCAACCAATTACGGTGCTAATAGGCATTTAATGCTCTCTTCATGTTGTCCTGCACAGCTTGATTGTGATGGCCGCGATCATCAAATGCGTGATGCAGAGTTCCATTCTGCTTTTGAGGCCATGCAAAATGCATCAGACATGCATGTTGATGATAGGGAAAAATTGACTTCTGAGCCTTTTAGTGAGCCTGATGTTAGTACGTCTGAGCTTAATAAGGTCAATCACAAAGCAAGTGGTGTCTGCTTGCAAGCTGATGACGTCAGTATGTCTGCGGAGGAGGAAGATGGGTTGCTTCAAAGGTCCCCTCAGAACAGCTCCGAATATCAAGGGGAGGGGGCATTTGGGGTGGTCCAGGAAAAGGAGGCAAACGACGTACCAGGAAGGCAGTTAGCAATGGATAGTTCTCGGGATACTTTGTTACTTGAAGCGTCTTTGAGATCTCAGCTCTTTGAGAGGTTAAAAATGAAAGCTTTGCCTAAGAAAGTAGAGGAAAGCCCGAATGTGGAGACTATCACTGAGAGTATGTTAGAAGCGGATGATTTCGGAAGAAGGATGGGATTGAGTTCAGGCAACATATCATCATCTGATGTTGAGAAAGAAAAGGCTTCTGACTTCCCTGGTATTCTTCCACTGAACATGTTTTTTCTACTCTGGAGTTTCTTGACAATATCATATGCAGCTAGAGGCTATCAGTCCTGAAAATCTATGTCAAAATGTTACTTGAAGGCAGTGCCAAGTGCCTTTTATTCTACTTTTCGAAGTTATGAACAACCATATTTGTTGAACTTGCATTGTATCAGTAACTGCATTTATTTTGGTCTTAATTTCTTTTTTTGTTTCTCTTGATTTATAATTTCTATGTCTACCTACAAACTCTTGCTGTCAAAAAATTATGTGTTTAAGATGTCACAACTGCATTTTGCATGTGAGGGTATATCATTTTTGTCATATATCTTTGATTCTGTTTTTTTATATTTTTTTTCCAGTATCTTCTGATAAAGCAGATATAGAGTATGACACCCCTGTTGAGATAAATGATCGTTGCAATAATGATACATTTGGATCCAATTTTTCCTCTATGTTGTCCACTAGTCATTTGAGCAGTTGCATGTCCATAGATGAGCAGCACTCACAATCATCAAATTTCGCCACCTTCTCTCTTCCTGCTTTCAGGAGTGCATTTTCTCACCTTAAGCATTCTGATACCACTAATTTTGGCAAACCACAGATTAGAGGTGTGAATATTCAAGCTTCTCATGTTAATAATGCAAATGATGATGAGACCACGGGGAATACTTTCAGAGTAGATGAGTATGCTTCACTGGATCTATATTCCAACAAGAATGGTTCTTATTCCTGCAAATTTGCTATTGATCCACTTTGGCCGCTTTGCATGTATGAACTCCGGGGGAAATGCAACGACATAGAATGTACTTGGCAACATATTAGGGACTACTCTTCTGAAGCTAAAAAAAGCACTACCTGCAACAACAGGGGTATGAAATTTGTAAAACAAGTACAATAACATATGTGCAATTCTTTATAGTTTTATGCATAGTGCAGCACTTTGCATTCCTGACTTTGAAGATTTGATTGTAGTTTTATGCATAGTGCTTTGCTATTATATCTTTTTTTACTTTGAAGATTTGAAGGACGAGTCAACAATTGGAAGAGGAAAATCCGCTTTCACTAATGCACTCACCATGTCAAATGTCTCTGCTCCCCCAACTTATCTAGTTGGTTTTGATGTTACCAAAGTTGATTTACAGACATATAAATCTGCTGTTGCTCAAAAGAAGTGTTTCAGTGGTTTCTTGGTTCTTTCAAGTCTACTTCTAACTGACCTGATTTCAAAAGAGCCATTTCTGTATGGCTCTGAAGCTCATGTTGAGGTCCATGGGGGTTGGAACAGGCAATTACTCTATTTCCAGAGCAGAAATGGAACATCGGTTGGTCACACTAACTTTATCTTCATTGCTGCTTATCACCCTGTCCCCACCAAAAGACATGTTTTAGTTTTACTATTCATAAGAAATTCACATTTCATCGAAAGAACCTAATATTTCATGAAACTTTCCAATGCTTTGTAAAATAGGGTTACAAACCAATTTCAATGTGACCCAAATAGATAATCTAACAAATAAGTTTTGAAATCGGAAATGCGTCTTCATGATTTATGTCTTCAAACTATGTACCTTTAAAAAGTTGTACTTTTACCAAGAATGTTTGAGCATTGGTTCTGATTTCTGAGGCAAGCAAAAATCAGAAACAAATACAATTTGCACCCCTCTTCAGCCCTAGCTAGTTAGTTCCCAAGCATATTTTTTCTCTCTCTCTTAATATGGAAAATCAAGTTGCATATTTGATGGGAATGGAAAATAAAAATCAACAGTATAAACCGTTGCCTAGTAATAATCAATGGCAGAAACCGTTGCCCAGAGCCAAAAGGCTGAAATCCAATTTTATTAACTGATGAGCAAGAATGAATCCTAACAAGGGGTTTAAATACCCTGGTTTAAATCCAATTTTATACGCATCTACTAATTCCCAAACTAGGAAACAAAATCATAGAGATCCTAATCAACTCCAAATAGGAAAAAGAATAATGGAGATCCTAATTAACTCCAAACAGGAACCAAATAATAGAAATCCTAATTAACTCCAAATAGGAAACAAATCAGGAAAATTATAAAAGAATAAAATTAATTAACCAGCCCACGAAGGTGGGCTCAAGCCCGTCCCTGCCTGCAGTAAACCAACAGCCCTTGGCTTTCGGACCCTCTTCTTCCACACAGCCCCCTTGCTCTCCCCGCTCTCTATTAATAGTTGTGTCAGAAGGTAATTCAAACAAAGCTTACTCACCCCAGACGTGGTTCGGTACCCATTTGTAAGGTCAAACCGCTTACAAAGTTACGCAAGAAGTTAGTTGTGACTTCTGACAGCTGCACTACTTTGTGCATCTTTTGCAAGTAAACAGTAGCTTTTACTCTTTGCTAATTCCTCATGCTGGTTGTGCTTTAACAGATTGAAGGTGGCCACCGATTTTCAGATGATGATCAATCCATAGAATTGGCTCTTTTGAGTCTCTGTCAAGAGGGTAGTAAAAGCAAAGGCCGAATTGAGGTATTTCTTTCTCTTGCAAGTCGTCCCTTTGTATTTCATTGATGTGTTATATAAGCTCATACACACATTGAAACATGTAGGCTCTGAAAGTGCTTGCTCGTGCTCTGGAAGCTTATCCTACTTCAGCAGCTCTGTGGATTGTTTACTTGTTGATTTATTATAGCAATCAAAAGTGCATTGGGAAGGATGACATGTTCAAACATGCGGTACTCCTTTTTTAATGTGAACAAATACATTTATGCAGTTGTTTTTTATTATCTTCTGGGATGTTTATATAGAATAAGTAACTTCATCTGTTCCTTTTTTATTCTTGTGCACTTTCTTGTTAGAGGTATCTCAACTTTATCAAAATAAAAAAACTAGTTTTTGTTAAGAACACTTGTGTATGACAGGTACCTTTGGGATGAACAACTATGCTTTACTTAGAATTAATTTGGTGCGCGATCTTGTCAGGACACATGCAAATTAATTCTTCCCGAGATATCTTTGTTTCATATAACAAAGGCCTTTATATAGGCTACATCAGAGTTCTAAAATAAAAGGAAACCACACAAAAAGAGTCTTGAAATAATTCAGAGATAAAAAAGATACTGAAGACAACAAATCTATCACATCAAATAATCTGAAAGTAACCCAGCTTTCATAATTGATTGAGCGCCAGCTGCCAGCTGCCAGACTTGCCATGTGGCTTGCTCAGCCTCTTTGCTGGCTAACACATGTTGTGTTTACTTTTCCTCGCACGTCATTTACGCCTAGATTATAAAACCTTCACAACATTTCTCCCCTCGTTGTAAAAGAACTTGTCCTCAAGCTCCAAGGTTGGGTAAGCATGTTGAAACTCTTTCAATGTGTCCCAAGATTCATCCTCTTCGAACTTGCCATGCCAATGTACTAGGAGTTCCCATGTACCCGCGTTCAGCCGTGCTTGAAGATTTTTTTCTACTGGTGGAAGAATTCTCATAGTCCCTGGCGGTCGAGGATTGAAACACCACAGAAGATTTCTCCCTCGTCCTTGGTCACAATCGATGAACGTAGCTTCAGATGGAAGTTGCCGCTGAATAACAGATTCCTGCTACAAACCGGGAGACTGGGATAGCGACGGCAAACTGGGAGAAGCAGTTCGCGATTGCGAATGGAGAGAAACGACGAGCGACGATCTGGAAGAATCGGCTTGCGATGAAGCCTGAGAACTGAAGAAATCTGCTCGCGGTGAAGCTTGCAAACTGAAAGAAGAAGATGCTGGTGAGGAAACCTGCGAACTGAGAAAAGATGCCTGTGATGGCAACGACGAACGTTCCTTGATCGTCCTCGCCGGCGACGTTGTGGATGCAGCTTGGTGCACATTTTGTCCAACCAGATCCTCATCTTCTTCATCCAATCACTTTCTACTTTTTCCTTGCTCTTCTTGCGCTTCTCCGTGTTCAAGCAATTCCCCAGGTTCAAGAGCTTCTCCAAGTTTCCGCGCGAGGCATCCTGATCGATCTTCGATGCTGCATGTGTGGTTCCCTCCTCCCTTGCGTAGACATGCGCTTCTCCATGTTCGCGCGCAAACCAGAGGCGGCCACCTTCTGTTCTGACCGTCGATGATCCCTGTGCTGCTCCGTGTTTTTTATAGCGCGTATGTCGATAGAAGCTTCCCGCAGTCGACTGTTCTGATACCAATGATAGAGACACCAGAATTTGATGGTAAATTGATGTATATTAAGATGGAAATTGTTGAAAACTGAAAACAGAAAGATACAATTGAGACACTTTGAGTAGTCTTGCACTCCAAAGTCCAAGCCCCAACCAAATTTCTGCCTCCCGCACTTCTTTCTTCCCTCCAATTCTTATGATAGGGCCTGGGCTGTAGAGAATAATAATATTAGTAGTTATAGATTGATATTAAGTAAGTATGGTATTGTATAAATAAGAATTCTGGGCCATGTCATAAAATATGGGCTGGCCCGTTAGAATATAAGTACTATAAGAGTGGGAAGGAGGGAAAGAAGGGAGTAGGCAGAAATTGGATCTGGAATTAGGCTTGGGAGTGTGAGACGGCTCGAACTGTCTCTATCTTATTGGCTCTTCTCTTTCTTTGTATTTCCGTCACTGTAGTTCTGCTGCGTTGGTTGAGGTTCCAATTCTTATAATAATTTTATTCTTAAGGGCCGGCTCAAACTCATGACTTACATGGCCCGAAACCCTTATTTTTACACTATCACAATTATTTAGTATAATTCTATCATTATTAGTATACTAATCTGCGCGGTTCCTATCATTGAAGCAATAGAAATTGATTTATCTATGCTTAGAGTTTTAGATCTGTGCAAGACAAATACCTCTGGGATGAATAACTATGCTTTAGTTAGAATTAATTTGGTGTCTGGCCTTGTCAAGACACACTCCAATTAATTCTTCCCAAGATATCCTTATTTCATATGAGAAAGGCCCTTATATGGGCTACACGCCTACACCAGAGTTCTCAATCTAGAGGAAATCACACAGAAAGAGTATTGAAATCATTCAGAGACAAAAAGGATACTGAAGACAACAAATCTATCACAACAAATAATCTAAAAATAACCCAGCTGTCATAATTGATGACTGCCAGCTGCCAGACTTGTCACGCAGCTTCCTCAGCCACTTTGCTGGCCAACACATGTTGTGTTTGGTTTTTCCTGCACCTCATTTACGATGCCGCTGATATGTGCATCCTAGGAAGTAGAAAGGCGTCCACAACAGTTTATTACTACCTCCGTGCCAAAAATTTTTGCCATTTTCAAAACTTTGACCGTCTATATCTTTTTATTGAAAATTATTTAAAATATAAAAATTATATGAAAATGTTCTTTATTAAAAGTACTTTCATAAAAGTATAAAGTTCATAGCTTCCCTAATATTATACTAATCAAAATCAAGATTCAAATTTTTGAAAATGGCAAAGTTTTTTGGGACGGAGGTAGTATTTATTTATGCAGATCTAGTATACCAAATATTCACGGGCTTTTCTTTTCAAATGGCATCTCTCAGTTTGGTTTGTTATATTAATAAAATATTACACCTGTAAATATCAAAGGGTATGGTTCAAATTAATTATCAAACAAAGTAACATGGGACATGTATAAAATTTGTTGAGCATTTTGTTCTCTATCTGTGTAACTACTAGTAATTTTTTCTTACGGGTTCATTTATATCTTCATAATTGCAAATGCATTTGCATGAAGAATGCATTAAACTGCGCCCCATATGCCATTTTGTTTGTCCTATTTTCCTTATGAATACGTTTCAAAATGATGAGCAGTTTCCCAATTTGAGCATCACTATCCTTTTGCTCTCCTATTAACTTTTTAAAATAGTTTGACAGTTGACCTCACTTAAGGAACAATTTTTTAAAAGCATGCTACACCTCACTTGGTTATCAAAAACCACAGGGCTTTGTAATTTGGGTGGAGTATATGATAGGGTATCGATCCGAACAGTAAAAACAGTATGTATATTCAATCAAGGGATTCTGAGATATCCTGAAATTTACAAAGCAACGGAAGAAACATAATAGAAGAAGTATAGAGGCAAGTTCGAGAGTGCTTATCTCTCTCAGAGTCCCAGTTCCTATTCCCAAAATTCTGCCCAACCTCTTATTACTCCCTTAGCTTCTATTTATACTCCTGTACAATTATTATTATTATTATTATTAACACTAATCTGTCCAGGTCTGTATCAGTGTATTAGTCTATTAGGTTATTAAGAGTATTTAATTTGAGTTTGGGTCTGATATTTTGCTTCGCAGGTTGAACATAGCAAAGAATCATATGAACTGTGGGTGTTATATATTAATAGCCGTGAAACACTTGATGAGCGGTTAACTGCATATGATGCTGCAATATCTTCACTTTGCCAAAACATTTCAAAAAGAGATGCCTTTGCCAGCGAATGCATCCTTGACCTCACTCTCCAGATGATGAATTTTCTGGCCATGTCTGGAAACATTGGAAAAGCCATTGAGAAGATCAATGATCTCTTCTCCACAACAAACATACCTAACAACCCACATAATAACCTGTTCTTCCCTGACATAATCCCTCGCTTAACCATTTCTGATAAATGCATTTTCTGGGTTTGCTGTGTATACATCGTCGTGTATAGGAGATTACCAGATTCCATAGCCAACCAGCTTGAATCCCAGAAAGAGCTTTCTTCCATAGAGTGGCCGCCTACCCAGTTAACTACTGACGAGAAGCAGCAAGTGGTCTCCCTGATGGAATTAGCTGTAGATTCACTAGTGTTGCATATCGATAGAGAGTCTCTTGAGGATGAATTAAATCTAAGTGCGGCACACTTATTTGCTCTGAATCATGTCAAGTTCGTTGCCGTTCTTGAAGGGATAGACTGTGGCAGGAATCTTCTGGAGCGATACAAGAAGCTTTACCCATCTTCTTTAGAACTTGCTCTAATGTCAGCTAGGGTAGAACACGAGTTTCAGGATTCGAGGAGTTATGAAGGGTTTGAAGAAGCTTTGGGTAACTGGATTGATGAGGTTCCTGGGGTTCAGTGCGTTTGGAACCAGTACGCAGAATGTGTGTTCCGAGACGGGAGATTGGATATCGTGAAGGAATTAATTGATAGATGGTTCCGGTCGAATGATTTGCCTGAATCGGGTTCAATCTCGGATGTTAGTTCTTGGCTTTCCAGTTTTACCCAAACTGATGTTGTGTTTGGTTTACTCAATTATGCTATCTATAAGCTACTAATGAAAAATGATCCAACTGAGGCTCGTGTGGCTTTGAATAAAGCGTTGGATGCCGCTGATAATACCGAGTGTTACAATCACTGTGTTAGGGAGCTTATTATGTTCCTGATAACATCAGCAGACAGAAGCGCTTTACAAGTTGTGAAAGGCTACCTGTTTGATACCCGTGCTTCTTCGCCCGTGTCTGACCCATTGACCCGAAACTTCATCCGAAACTTGAAGAAGCCTAGACTCCGGCAGCTGGCAGGAAAACTGCTGAGTCCCATTCCATCAGACCCTACACTGGTGAATTCTATCCTTAAAGCGTGGTTTGGCCCGTCTCTCTTACCACGCACAACCGATAAATTGACTGATATGGTTGACTTTGTCGAGAGCTTGATGGAAATTCTCCCATCTAACTATCCTCTAGCGATTTCCGTCAGCAAGTGGGTAAGCAGCCGAAAGGCTTCCTTTTCCGCCAGTGTCTCTTTCTGGGCAGGCTCTCTCTTGTCAAATGCACTCTTTCAAGCAGTCCCTGTTGCACCAGAGTATGTATGGGCAGAAGCTGCGAGTCTTCTGATTTGCCTGATGAACTGTGAGGAGATATGCATTAGTTTTCATAGGAGTGCATTGTCGATATATCCATTTTCAATCAAGCTATGGAAATCTTATGCGGGTCTATCTACATCTACTGGAGAGTTGGCAAAAGAAGCCGCAAAAGAGAAAGGTATTCCCCTGGATGAATTTCTCCGTGTTTGATAGAGAATATTAAAGTAGGAAGCAAATTTTGATGTATGCACGATGGATCCAAATTTGTACAAACAGGAAACTGGCATAGTTAGCAACATTTGTCAACGAACATGGAAGTTGAAATTACAACTTTAAAGAAACTGACAAATCAATCCAGATGTCACTATACTCACCTCCACAAGAGTAATGTGGGTGCGCTGTTATAAGGTGCTGTTCAATATAAAGTTTTTCATTGAAAAATACGAATTTTTCAATTTTAATTCTTCAGAGTGCGTATGTTCAAACACTGGACTTTTGGCCATTTTTGGATTTTTGGTATTCACAGATCAAGTCTAATCTATTGAAGGGGTCATCCTCAGGTTTCATTGAAGGGGTCACCCTCAGGTTTCATTTGAACTTGTCTCTCGGGTGGGGTTAAATGGTTAATCTCTAATGAGAACACTCGTCTATAAAAGAAGTGACAAACTATCTTCCATCTGTCCCATGATTCCATGAAAAACGTTTTTATCTGGACTTGGCAAAAAGATGAAGAAAGTGGAATTGTGTGATTGTCCACGAAAGAGAGAAATAACATGAACTATATATTCTTTGCCGTAAAAGCATATAAATGAAATTTATTTTGGGATGCAGGCTTTGTTTGGCCGGCAAAAGTCCATGTCTTCTAGCTTTTGTATTATTTAAAAAGTCTTTAAAAGCTCCTAGTTGTATGTTTGGTATGACAAATTTAAGAGCTTCTCAAAAAATAAAAAGCTCTTTTTTGAGATGTTACATGGAGTAACATCTGAAAAAAGTCTGTGGCTTTTAGCATTAATTAGCCCCAACAGCTTCTATACCAAACAGAACTAAACCAAACAGTCAGCTTTTTATCAAACAGATACTACCTTTTACTTTTAAGATCTTTTCAGTCACTAAAAGCTAACAGTTACTAAAAAGTCTGTAAAAGTATCTTTTCAGCTAGTTGTGCCAAACATACCCGTAGTACTACTTTCTTTCATTACTGGAACAAAATCGACTTTAATTTATAAATTAACTGAACACAATGAAAAAAAAATTGAAGTCCAAGTTAAGTCGTATTGAGAACTATATAGTACCTCCATCCCTCTTAAGATTGATATTAATTGATAAAGTAAGAATAAAGTTAGAATGATTTGAGCCACACAAATTTTATCAAATATGGTATGAGACAATTTTAGTGAGATTTTCCAAAAAGGTAAACCGGGACAATATAAGGGGACAGAGGGAGTAACATTTAAAATTTTCCATTTGTTGGCAAAAATCAAGACCTTTGTTGATAAAGTATTAACTATTAACTGTCATATGAGAGCAATTGACGCAATCCTTAGCTTATGCATTGGTAATGGGTGAAAAGAATAACTGAATAAGTAAGGAAAAGGAAAACATAAGAGTCTTATTTTGAAATTTGACTATCATATGGGGAAGAGTAAAAACATAAGAGTCTTATTTTGAAATTTGACTATCATATGGGGAAGAGTTGACGCAGTCCTTAGCTTATTGCATGGTATGGGGAGTATACATAATTTGTACGTAGTACTACAATAATGTATTACAACAGGTGTCTCCAGGCTCCAGCCCAATGGTTTCCGATCATTTTTGCTCATGAGGGACATGTGTTCGACTCCCTCCAGCCCCAGGATTTTATTTCCATCCGGTTTTTTCCATATTTTACTGGGTTTGCCGAGTTTGGCCGGTTACGGGCCTGTCCCGGGTCTTGCCGGGCTACCGGGTAAATCCGGTTATTGGTGTATGTACGGGTTAATAGACAACCGGACCGGTCGAGGTTCCGGGTCGAACCGCCCGGTCCGGTCCTTGTAACACAGGTGTAGAGTTCAGTTAAAAAATATTATTTTTTCCCACTACCTTTATTTCAATCATGTAGTTGTCATTATTTCTACTCCCTTCATATTTTAAAGTTTTCTACACTTTCCTTTTATGAATGTATTTCCAGTCCAGTGGTTTCCGATCATTTTTTCTCATGAGGGACGTGCGTTCGACTCCCTCCAGGCTCTAGCCCCACAATTTTATTTCCATCCGGGGTTTTTTCATATTTTACCTGGTTTGCCGAGTTTGGCCTTTTGCGGGCCTGTCCCGGATCTTGCCGGGCTACCGGGTAAATCCGGTTATTGGTGTATTTACGGGCTAATAGACAATCGGACCGGCCGAGGTTCCGGGTCGCCGGTTTCCGGGTCGAACCGCCCGGTCCGGTCCGGTTCTTGTGACACATGTGTAGAGTTCAAAACAATTAGAGTTCAAAGATATTATATTTTCCCACTATTTTTATTTCAATCATGTAGTTGTCATTATTTCTACTCCCTCCGTATTTTAAAGTTTGTTACACTTTTCTTTTTTGGATATATTTAAAAGTGTGTTACACTTTCCCTTTTTGACAAATTTTTCCTTTAAAAATACTCAATTATTCTTACTTTTCCTACTTTTTATCTTCTTTTTCATACTTTTCCATCTTCTCTCCTACTTTTTACACACTATTCATTACCCCCACTATTTTACCCTTAAATCTTGTGCCCAAACCTATTGTAGAGAACATTCAAATACAGAGGGAATATTAAAAATGACAATATAAAAGTGATATTAAATACTCCAATTATTAGTTTTTCTTCTCTTGTTAATGCCGAGTATTAAATGGCTATAAAATAATTTCTCTTTCCCATTTTACATGTCTTACTTTCCTTTTTTAGTTATCCCAAATAATTAAGTTTCACATTTTTCTTTTTGGAAAGAAATATGTGATCCACATCATTTCATTTTATTATATATACTCAAATATCAACCACAACTTTTACCTTTTCAATCACTTTATTATTAATTGTGCCAATCTTAAATGAGACACATAAAATGAGACAGAGATAGTAATAAATTTCTTATTAGTTATTCTTTTCTTGCTAATGGCGAGTATGTAATCACTTCATCCAATTATTCAAGTGATAGACAAAAAAGCCTTCCAAACGTGTGTAAAAATGTGTATAACAATGAAGTGTGTACCGATGTAAATTTTGCAAGAAGAAAAAGTAAACATAATAATGAGTGAGCAACTTACACTTTTCAACTTTACTCTACGAAAATTCTTTGTTGCATCATTGAGTTCGCCGATGTCCTTCGGGAACGTAGAAAGCGTTCTATCTTGGGAGACAATTGTTGCTTGTGTTGTGTGTGGGCAAAATCGTCTCAAAGAGACCACGATTGATTGGGTTCAGTTTCATCCATGTATTCTATTTACTTCTATCTAATTATTTAATGGGTGCAGATTTTATGAAATTTTGTATAATAGATCGTGGTCTCTACAATATAAATTTGAACATCATCATGGTCACATTTTATCAACTACCTTGATTCTGATCATATTTCATCAATATTTCTTATTATATTTTCATCAAGAACGATATTTTATTTACATTGATGGGGAAAATGGTGACTTAAAATGACCCACTTTGTGTATTTTCTAGTATTCATTATATTTATAATCATGCTTGGTGTTCACGTTTTTTGTACACGTCATTTTGCATGTCATTTGTATTGTGTATGCATAGACAATTGTTTCTTTGTTTCGTGAGTTTTGCACTATTCACATATTCTACTTTGATTACATTTTATTTATTTATGTATTATAAATCATTTGTTTTTAAAAATATTGTTAAATTCATCTCATTTTAAATTCAAAATATGAGAGGAATAACAAAAGTTTTGCATTCGCAACAAAACGGAAGAAGTATATGTAAACAAAGAAAAATGACAAATACACAATACATTACTACCATTACATTGTTAAATACTTTTTGTGGTTATTACATTGATCCCTTCGATGGTTACAATGCAATTTTGACCGGATATAAAGACGATTTTTTTGTTGAACTCATTTTAGTCCCGAATCAAATCAACCAAATCAAATTTCAAATTTAGACGAGACCATGTCTTGGACTTGAAAAATTATAAAATAAACATAAAACAAACGTATAATAAAATGGACCAAAATAAGCCAATTTGAATTTAAACAAACCACCCTCAAATCCTCAATTACAATTCAATTGAAAATAAATAACTAATCTCTAAGTCCAAATCTTTCCCAATTTTTATTTACTTTTCCTCGTCACTGTTTGAAAAGGGAAAACCACTTCAATAATCGGATTAAGTGATTAAATACTCGCCGGCATTAGCAAGAGAAGAAAACCAAATAAGAAAATTTATTATTTTATGGCCATTTAATACTCGGCATTATCAAGAGAAGAAAAACTAATTATTGGAGTATTTAATATCACTTTTATATTGTCATTTTTAATAGGAATAATTACAAATACATGATTGAAATAAAAACTAGGGAACAAAAAATCACTTTTTATTCTTTAGTGATTATTATAGCAATTTTAATGATTATAATTGTTTTGCACTCGTCACCAAAGTGATCATAATTGTTCGTACGTTACATTTAATATGATTAATATTTAGCAAAATTTTCTAATCCTATCCTTAATCCTCTCCTTAATAGCACTACAATCCTCTCCTTAATCCTCTCCTTAATAGCACTACAATTCTACAAAAAGATTTCCCGCCCACCCGTCTAAGAAATGTCATCCGTTGGATTGCCATATTCTCTAAATGGACGGCTTTGGCTTTCATCGTTTCTTCGCTTTTTACATTCTTCATTATTAACTTTTCTTTCCTTTTCTATTTCCTCCACACTTATGAGGAGAAAGGTTCATTCCATCCGTGCAGGGGCAGCTGTTCACATGAGAAAGAAGTAGGGAGATGCATCGCCATCACTTTACTTCTATGCAGGGGTAGCCAGGATCAATGTTTACCCTGGGCCAACTATAAGCTAAAAACTTTTTATAAAATTTTTAAAAGCGTAAAGAGTGTGAACATAATGATTAAAATCCATTAAAATTCATAATAAAATTTTTAAACAGTACATACAATATTTGAAACTAAAATGTTAACTCAACACGACGTTCTTTGACCTTAGCAAACTCATCTATGACAGACTCAACGTCGATTTTGTTAGCAAATTCCTTTTCGATAAAGATGATCAAACGATCGGCAAGAAATTCATCATTCATTTGGTTACGAATTTCATTCTTCACGAGTTTCTTTCTTCTCTATTTTCTGTGCGTGTACTAGGCTTATAAAACGAACAGAATGTGAATTTTGCCTTTTTGAATGAGGTAAGCGTCAGATTGGTACTCGAAGTTGCAAAAAATGGGTCAAATAAGTCCTTATATAGGAGGCTTTGTCTGGCTGTCACCATTTAGGGTGGTTCCCTATGGAGTTTTTTGACGAATTTTTTTGAGTATCTTATTCATTAAGTCTAGTTTACTCATACCACATTTGAGCTAAAACTTCAATCAGGAAGGCATGCAAATGAATTCTTGAAGATAACTGTGCAGTTAAAAGCGCAATTATCTTCAAGATTTCATTTGAATGTGTTCCCGATTGAATTGTTAGCTGAAATTTGGTATGAGTAAACTAGACTTAATGAATAAGATGTTCAAAAAATTCCACCGGGAACCGCCCCAAATGACGACGGCCGGATAGTAAGGACTTATTTGACCCTTTTATGCAACTTCGTGTACCAATCTGACTCTTATCTCCTTTTTGAATGTAGATTGAGTAGCCATACCAACTAAAATTAGCAAAAAATAAAAACTAATCAATATTTTATTTTAATTCATATAGTTCATATTAATATTTTAAGAAATTCACAAATCACATTTGACATTCCTAACTTTTAATTTTACAATTCAAAGCACACAAACTAAATTAACAAATACGTAGTAAAAATACTTGAACTAAACTAAAAATTGCAAAACCAAAGAGCATAACTCTTACCTTGGCTTAGCAGACGAGCAGATTGGGGTCCTCAAGTCCTCAAGGCACAAGCAGATTGCAGACAGCGAGCAGCAGAGGGGCGTTCGTGCGTGTCCGGCCTCCAGTGATGAGAGCGGCAGAGCGGGCGGGCGTGGTCCACACTGTGCGTCAGGTGCGTGAGCGTCGGATGTCGTATTTGTCGATAAAAAAACTATTTGTACCCACTATTGTACCCACTTCTGTACCCATCATGTCAGTTTTTTTGTCTATGAATTTCGGTCATAAACAAAAATATGTCTATGAAGACATGGTGTGTACAATAGTGGGTACAAGAAGAAGCTCCCTTTGTCGATTGGCTGCTGCGCTTCTTTGCTTTAGATTAGGGCCATGCAGTTTTTCT